GGGCTGGCAGGGAGGCAGGGCAGAAACCCGGAGGCCACCAAGAAGCCGCGTCAGGTCAGGCCGGGGCCAGCCCCACTTAGGAACTCAGAGTTACGTGAAATTTGTTTCCCAACCCTGGCCGATTTGGGCCCAAGTTTTGGCTACCTGTGACTGAAAGGTACACCTAGAATTCGAGGAAAGGCCTCAATAATAAATCCACTTCTCACTGCTCCAAAGTACAATTTGCCTCTAAAAAATGAGTGGCTCCAGCGAAAGGAACATGATTTCCCCCCACTGCTCCATTCCCCCAACTAGGTCTCGAGCCAACAGCGCGCTCCCCGGCCTCCTGCCTTCAGCTGCCCGACCAGCTCGGCCACCGCCACACATGCCACTTGGTACTGCTGGCTAAATATAGCAACGGGTCTTTGTCTCCGGGACTAAAATATAAATCCCCTAGCACAGCAGAGCAGGTTCCTCAAAATCGGCTTCCTGCTTGCCTTTCCCAGGCCAACCCCTCCCGCCCCTCACTGTCCTCCACTGGCCTGCCTTGTAACTTCAAGCCCCTTCCTGCTTCTGTGACCTCATATGCACCCTTCCTCTCTTCAAGACTGTTGGACCGTCATCTCCGCTGTCATTCCTACTGCCACGGTCCCCGTGCACAGGCCCGCAAGCTCTGTACAGCCAGAGCATTTTACAGATCCCCGACTGGCAGCTGTCCCTCAGGGACCCTCCCTAGTAATTCTCGATTCCTGGTGCTGCCGCAGTGCCCGGCACGTCACAGGGATTCATATAGTGAGTGAAAAAGCAGAAATGTGCGTTAAATGCAATACTTACATTTAAAACGTCTCCTCTATTCCATAAAAATCTTATTATGGTAACTTAGGGAGCTGGTGGACATGAATCTATGTGCCCATCATTAGCACTATCTCCTACTCTAAATCTGTTTCCATATTCCTTATGTGTAAAGTTAATTTGATGAACGTCCGTGGACTGAACGTTTGTTGAAATGCAGTACATGCAGTGAGATGCCGGAGGAACCCAGGAGGGGTGGGATTTTTGGAGCTGTTGCTGTTAAAGATCACACTAATTTGTCAAGGCTAACGTGCACGCACTAGCTTTTCCAAGCAGTGAAAGGCTACGCCAGTGGCATGTGCTGCAGGAGTGTGTAACCAGGGGCCAGAAGAACACATGGCCCCCAGACACGAGTGCTCAGTCTCACCCAGCAGTCAGAACTAGGACTATTCTCACTTAACCTGTGGACAAACAGATAATATAACAATTCAGCTACGTTTCTAGAATGATGGACTCTGAGCTAAAAGATTCAGTTAGGGGGCTTAAAAGAAAATGCAACAAAGGACAGTAATCAACACAGTATGGTAGTGGCATCAAGATAGACACAGGCCATGGAACGCGACGGCGAGCCCAGAAACAGACCCTCGCACAGATGGACAGGTGATTTCCCACAGGGATGCCCAGACAATGCGACAAGGACGGTCCGCAACAAATGGTGCCGGGAAAACTGGATATCCCCACGCAAAAGAAGGAAGCTGGATCCCTACTTTGCACCATATATAAAAATCAACTCAAAACAGATCAAAGATTTATGTGTTAAGAGCTAAAACTATAAAACTCTTAGAAGAAACACAGGGCAAAGCTTTGTGGCATTGGATTTGACAATGATTTCTTGGATATGACACCAAAAGCACAGGCAACAAAAGAAAAAATAGTCAAACTGGGCTTCGTGAAAATTAAAAAACTTTGTGCACTAAAAGACACTATAAACAGTGAGAAGGCAGCCCGCAAGAGAAA